CGAGTATTTTAATACTCCCGGGCGAAAGAACTACAGTAAGTAAAGTTTTCAATAAATAAAAATAACATCCCCTAGATGGAAGCATAACAAGCTTCAAGGGGATAGATTGCAGTAAAAAATGCAGCCAACGCGAGATTTAAGTTGGTACCAATTGTAAATTTTCATTATAATTACAAAAAATGCTAAAATCCGAACAAAAACAGTTTCACTGTAAAAAAAGTCGCGCCAAGTCCACGTTGATAAGACTATTAGGAAAAAAAAAAAATTTTTTTTTTCTTTACAAAAAGATACAAAATAAAAAAATTAAAAAATCCTGTTGCAGCTGCAGGAAATCCTGCAGCTGCAACAGGAGGCTGCCATGTTGCAACAACAGGAAAAAATCCTGTTGCAAGTACAGGATTTTCCTGTAGCTGCAACAGGAGGCAGCCATGTTGCAACAACAGGAAAAAATCCTGTTGTAGCAACAGGATTACTACTGTTGTTGCGACTTGATAGTAAAATATAGTTGATGGGTCAATCCATGTGAAATCGACCAATGGTTGGAATCGACCCCTTTCGATTTGGATAAATTTTGGTTAGAAGTTTTCTTTTATCATGCAACGAACTTTTGCCAAAGAAAAAAAATTTTTTTCCAAAGATATGCAAATTCAAAATTTCGCGATTTTTCCAGTTTTTTAATTTTATTTTTGTTATATCTCGAACGCTATTATAGATACAGGAATGGCCTTTCGTTTGTTTGAAAGGGAATACTTAGGGTTTTTGAAAAAAAAAAAAAATATTTTGAAAAATGCCAAATTTGTTAAATTTTGAATTTTTGAAAATCGTCAAAAATGACGATCTATATTAATATTTTGGCTTAATTTTTTTTGTATAATACCTTGTACTGATTTTAAAAGATCCTCAAATTTTTAGAAATGTGATTTTTTTTTTTACTTTACTTCATTTAAATTTGTCGACGCCACTATCGTCTTATTAACATGGAAATGATTTGAAATTTGAGATTGAGCAACATTCATATGCAGAAATTTGTAAGTAAACAAGTACTCAAAAGAACGAAAAAAAATTGATATTCTCACCACATTATTTCTGATTGTTATTGGAAATTAACATCTGTTTGAGTTATTTGATGTTAAAAACTGTTATTGAAGTGAAAAAACAGACAAAATATATCATGCATTAAAAAAATAAGAAATTATATCATGTCTTAAGCCTGACTTTAAGATTACGTTCAAAAAATAGAAAAAAAAGTTGAAATTAATTTAATGATTAATATTTCCACGTCGTGCATTTAACTTTTTAATGCTCAAAATTACAATACTATGTATCTGCATAACTTTACATTATTTAGAAGTTGCGAAAAACAAAAGAAAATTTTTTTTTGAAATTGAAAAATTCATATTTAAAAAAAAACACAGTTCTAAAAATTTCAGGATCTTTTAAGATCAGTACAGGGTATTATACAAAAAAAAATTGAGCCAAAATTTTAATATAGATTGTCATTTTTGACGATTTTCAAAAATTCAAAATTTAACAAATTTGGCATTTTTCAAAATAGTTTTTTTTTTTCAAAAACCCTAAGTGTTCCCTTTCAAACAAACGAAAGGCCATTCCTGTATCTATAATAGCGTTCGAGATATAACAAAAACAAAATTTAAAAACTGGAAAAATCGCGAAATTTTAAATTTCCATCTTTTGAAAAAAAATTTTTTATTTTTTTTTCTTCGGCAGAAGTTCGTTGTATGATAAAAGAAAACTTCTGACCAAAATTTATCCAAATCGAAAGGGGTCGATTCTAACTATTGGTCGATTTGACATGGATTGACCCAACTATATTTGACTATCAAATCGCAACAACAGTAGTAATCCTGTTGCTACAACAGGATTTTTTCCTGTTGTTGCAACATGGCTGCTTCCTGTTGCAGCAACAATAAATTTTTTTCCGTGAAGTAACCGATATGATTGTTTATGATTTTCGGAAATTAAAAAAAATTTTATTGTAAATTTAAAAATTAAAAAAAAAATTTTAGAACGTACTTGGTGTGCGTCATTGTGTATTTCAATTTTTTTAAAGTCCTAGTAAATAGATTTTACAAATTTCATTAAAAGTAAAATATTTTGCAACCATGCACACTAAATACGTTCTAAAATTTTTTTTTTAATTTTTAAATTTACAATAAAATTTTTTTTAATTTCCAAAAATCATAAACAATCATATCGGTTACTTGGATTTTTTAATTTTTTTATTTTGTATCTTTTTGTAAAGAAAAAAAAAATTTTTTTTTCCTAATAGTCTCATGAACGTGGACTTGGTGCGATTTTTTTTACAGTGAAACTGTTTTTGTTCGGATATGTATACATTATGGAGGGTAGAGGTAAGATGGTCCTCCTTACCTCTACCCTCCATAGTATACATACTGCTACCTCTGCGGTGCCGCCATTTTCAAATAAAATCTAATTATCTCATATGAATTTTGGAATCAAATAAAGTAATAATATTCACGAAAAAAATTCCGTGAATAATAACAATTGTTAAATCGTAGTCGACGACCAAACTTTTAATATTTTTACTTTCATAGTGTTAAATTTTGATATTTTTTATTTTCAGTCAAATTTTGACGTTATATCATCGTAAAATTCATTCAATTTTGTTTTACCGTGTAAAGCATGATTTTTTGTAGCTTTATATATTATAATCATATATGATGATGTATATAATTCTATATGGAGCTATATATAACCTTGCCTGTTTTTATGTAGTATTACGACAAAACACATTTCTTACCTCTGAAAATATTTCATATATACAATATCTTTGCTGGTCAATTGAACAATAATTTGAATTTAATATTTAAATTAAGTAAACCGTTCATTTATAAAGGGCCCATTCCTAAATACGCTACAAGTATAGCTGTAGCACAGAAGAATGGAATGGGCTACAGCTGCTGATAGAGCATTTAGAAATGTATGCAAATTGTGAATAATAGATTTAGTTATTTAAAAAAAAAATCGTTTTCGTCTATAATAAATGTTTACAGCTTTTTCTGAAAACAAACGATAAATAATGAAAGTATTGTCACCAATTTCCCAAAACTATAAAAATTTTCATTCTCTAATCGAATAACATTTTTACGATTAATTATTAGGTAGATTTTGTAAACATCAATCTATTGCATTTGTCTTCATGGCAGAATTTTCAGCTAATTTTGCGATTATATGTTTCAATTGGTTGAATATATTTAAAAAATACCTCAATTGGCAATGAAAATCATGATTTCCATGGCTATTTAGAATACTAGAATTCAAATTTACGCGCGCAAGCGCGCGTCTGACTATAGAGTTTGCATATATTTTTATGCTTATGATATATTCGACCAATCACGTTACGAATAGTTTGATGTCACATACATTTCATCTCAATTTTATATTAGGACTAGAATTTAATTTTTGCGCGCAAGCGCGCGCGTCATATTTATTGTCATGATATATTTATGTGTCGTTTATGTATATTATATTCACTTTCATCCAATCAGAATGAGAATAAATATTTTCAACCAATCACATCACGAATAGATTGGTTTCACATACATTTCATCTCAATTTTATTATGGGATTACTTTTGGTTGAGAAGGGATAGCTCGATTCTATGAAATTTTCGATGGAGCTTATAAAATTTTTTTTCCTTTGACCTGTAATGTTGTCATTTTTTAATCATTTTTAGCACTTTGATAAAGGTCGAAAGGTACTTTGAAGAAATTACAGGTAGCGTAAACGTAACGCAACTTGTAAGTGTGACGTAACACTGCTTACAATTCTTCATAGATCTCCATGAAGTATATGAAAATGCAATCAGTATTTGTGAATATGAATATTAGTTAGAATAATTTTTTTTATATTTGTTACAAAATCAATTAAGGAAATCCTTTCGCTCCAGTTGAGTCAAAACAATTGTAGTAGTCAATATACGATAAATTAAAATAAAAAACCCATAAAAATTCCTAAAATTAAATAATAAATAGTATATGAGGCATTAATCGTTGAAATTTTAAAAATAAAAAAAAAATAGTTAAATACAAAAATTAGTTTGACTCTTTCAAATCAGCTACTAGTAACTGTAACCTGTCCATGATTGGGCAACGCTGTACTTCGGTTGTTTACATTTTCATTTGCACAATATAACCTTAAACACGTTTAAGTTTTTGCAGTCAGTGTAAATAAATAAATTAGTTTGAATTTGTTGAATGGTCTGAAGCTCGCGCGCTACGCAACGTTGCCAAATATTTTGACTCCATATTAATGTAGGTTACTTGAGAATTTTTTGTGATTTTTAAATATTAATTTCTCAATAAATATCTCGGTAACTGATATATTTTATTGCAAAAAAAGAAACCTGAATATTTCGAAAATCTAATTTTTAGTTTTTTTTTACTTTATCTAATCGATGACTGATAGTATAATTCGAGAAATACTGCAACCGTCTGACTTTCTCGTAAGACTGAACAAATACTAATATTTAAAAATTTTATTTTTTCAAAAATTTGTCCGGTAAAATATAATTTAAACCTCACTATTAGATAAATAAGGACTTCAACTATTAGAAAAAAATTTAATTTACTCATAATCTAATATTTTGCACGCCTCATAGCGCGAAGCGCGTGAGGTTGTGCTTTATACTCGACTCGTTAAGATCAAGCAATTTTGTGATCTTTAAATGCCTCTATCACAACCATATTACACTTATACAATGATATAAGTAGATGTACACCGAAAAAACACATAAATTAAACCATCTGTTATTTTCTAAAATCATTTCATGCTGCTATTTTGAAAAAAAAAACGTTTTGAAAAAAATTTTACGTGGACGTCCGGATGTCACCCCATTTTGGATGTACCAACGATTACTCCCGAACAAATTGATATTTCAAGACCGGATCTTTTTTGTCTCTAACGGTTGTTATCGGTCCAGTGTCATGAGCATAATATTGAATTTGAGGATACCCACCCGAAAAAGCTGGGTTGTAGGAATTTTGATAACCTTGATTGCTGTTTGGAGGATAAATTGGTTGAGGATAAATTGGTTGAGGATTAATTGGTTGAGGGTAAATGGGTTGAGGATAAATGGATGGAGGATAATTGGGTGAATAGTTATCTTGATTGAAGGCAGGACTATCTGGTGACCAGTCATTCATATTTTGAAATCCTGAATCTGGTATTCCTGGTGACCAATCATTCATATCTTGAAATCCTGAATCCGGTAACTCTGGTGGTGACCAGTCATTCATATTATCAAATCCTGAATCCGGTAATTCGGGTGGTGACCAGTCATTCATAGTATCAAATCCTGAATCCGGTAAATCATATGGAAAAGCTCCCGAATAAATCTGAACAACAAATAATTCAATTAATTAATTCATGTAAAAAATTTTCATCAAAGACTATTTAAAAATTTACAAATTATCAAGCTTTGGATTAAAATATAGATAAATAAATATTTGAAATAAACTTACCGCATTGGCTGTAATAAACACTAAAATTGTTATAATTTTAGCAGACACCATCGTGAATGATGAAGAATTTTCACTGATCACTATTAATTTAAATTAGTTGACTAATACACGAACTGATCACTCTGAACACTCAGATATTTCTGACGATCATTTCAGTAGTGTTGCGCCGATGGCTTAAGTTATATAGCATTACCCACTCCACTAAGTCCAATTACCCGTTTTTACCCGGTACTGAAGGTTAGTGTTGCCATCTACTAAAAGCGCGGTAAATTTAAAATTAAATATTAAATCTTACGTGAGCATTCAAAATAAAAAGTACACAATAATAATTATTAATAAAATTTATTGAATTATTTCGTTTTTTTAAACTTTCAAAACATAATATTGTTAAGTATTTGTTAAATATATAAACCATATAAATTAAAAAATAAACATTAGACGATGTACTTAGTAATGATAATCGTTATCATAACAATATTAATTCAGATTAATATTGTTATGATAACGATTATCATTACTAAGTACATCGTCTAATGTTTATTTTTTAATTTATATGGTTTATATATTTAACAAATACTTAACAATATTATGTTTTGAAAGTTTAAAAAAACGAAATAATTCAATAAATTTTATTAATAATTATTATTGTGTACTTTTTATTTTGAATGCTCTAAGATTTAATATTTAATTTTAAATTTACCGCGCTTTTAGTAGATGGCAACACTAACTTTCAGTGCCGGGTAAAAACGGGTAATTGGACTTAGTGGAGTGGGTAATTCTAACTTAAGCCATCGGCAACACTGCCGAGCTCTAAAGTCTAAAGTCTGATAGAAGTTTCATAGAACACTATTTTTTGAATTTTCAAACCGCAATAACTTTTGAATGAATCAACCGATTTTCACGTTTTTGGCGGCGATCGACGAAGTTTTTTAAGTTCTAATAATTATTCTATCTGATCAAAAATGATCCGAAAAGGAATGTCGAAGTTATGTAGAAAAAACACTTTTTTTGTTTTCTTTCGTTCACGATATCTCTCGAACGAATTAACCGATTTTGACCGGACTTGCGGCGATCGACGTGGTTTTTCAAGGTTGAGAGCTGATTAGTTTTTGGAGTTGATCGATAAAGCCGTTTAAAAGTTATTCCACAAAAACCACCTTCAAAAAAATTTTTTTTCTTAGTTTTTTTAATATTTCTCAAAATCTATCGGTCCGAATCGGTTCAAATTGACAGCAAATCTAAGTTTGAGGGAACTCTTTAGAACGCTGTTTGGTAGGTTCCGTTAGGCTTAGTCGTTCAAAAGTTATTGGAGTGACATAGTGAGAACATCGCGGGGGTAGTCAGGGAAGCTTCCTGTGACCTTAATACATCGAGATCTGATGAAAAATGGATTTTTGCAAAACAGGCCCTGATTAAAAATACTCATTGAAAAGTATTGAAAATTTTTTCAATTTTTTTTAATCCATACAGAGATTTTGAAAAATATTGAATGGAATTGAAACTTCGATCATTTCAATATTTTCTAATTTTTATAATGGAATTCAAAAGTATTGAAAAGAATTGAATTTTTCATTATTTGAATACCTTACAATTCAAAAGTGGAATTTAAAAGTATTGAATGGGATTCAATTTTTTATCGTATGAATACTTTCCAATGAAGACGTGGAATTCACAAGTATTGAATGAGATTCAATACTTTATGTTTTCAATACTTTTTAATGAAGACGTGGAATTCGAAAGTATTGAACAAGATTAATTCATGTATGTCTCGAATACTTTCCAATCCTCAAATACAATTTAAAAGTATTCAATATAATTGTAACTTTTATAATCTATAATTTATTCCTGTTCTTTGAAAAGAATAAAAAACCCGGAAAAAAATAATTAGGCCGCATCATATATGTGGAAAATAAGCGTGTCAGGTCGTATCAAAATTGAGCAGGCGTGTTTATATGCTTGATCTGACCGAGACTATAGAAAGTTTGATCTGACCGAGACTATAAAAAAAAAGTGCTCGTCCAAAAATTCGAACCGTGCACCTCATACCACCCAGAATGACATTTATATTTTCTCAGTCAACCCAATAATGTATGTATATATTTCTTAATTTCGAAAATATAGCTTCTAAAAACTCTAAATTTGGTAGGTCTTTTATTTCTCATGTAAAAATTATCTTAAAATAGATTTCAATAAAGTCTTCCTACAGGAATTGCGGGGGTTGGTGTTAAAATCTAAAATTTAAATTTCCAAACTGTAACTTCGTCAGACTCCAAATTTGATGGGAATCATCGTGTATGATCCAAGTTCAGCTAAGAATGAATTTTATCAAATTTCAAGCCCAAAAGGAATTGCGGGGGCGTTAACTATGAAAATTTCTCATTGCCAAATAATAGTTTCTATTGACTCCAAGTTTTGTTGGAATCTTATTATTTATGATAATAATCATCTCGAATAGGATCTTACGAAATTTCTCTCTCACATAGGAGTGCAGAAGTGATAATTGTCAAAAAAATCATGTTCTTCAAATACAGTTCCTGCAGATATAAAATTTGATAGGAATCTTAAGAGGAACAGGAATAGCCTCCAAGGTCAACAGATTTAAATACTTTTTTTTTTAAATTATATTTTCTGACAATTAATGTTACAAGTAATGTTACGACAATATTATAGTCGATTTGTTTTAATTAATTAAAATAAAATTTCAAGTGTCAATAACTAGGCCAGTGTCAATAACTGGGTCTTTTACCTTATATACACTGATAGAAGGATTTATTAACTATTAATAATTTAATTTATTTAAAGACAATTATTTAATTTATTAAATTTTAATGAATGTTTTTTAACATTTAATAAATATTTATTTGGGAGGAAAGTACATTGATGAATAGTTAATAATTATTTATTTATTAGTTAAAAAATATTTATTAACAGTTCAAATGTTTATCGAAAATTGCATCAAATTATAAAAAATATCCCTGATTAAAAATACTCATTGAAAAGTATTGAAAATTTTTTCAATTTTTTTCAATCCATACAGAGATTTTGAAAAATATTGAATGGAATTGAAACTTCGATCATTTCAATATTTTCTAATTTTTATAATGGAATTCAAAAGTATTGAAAAGAATTGAATTTTTCATTATTTGAATACCTTACAATTCAAAAGTGGAATTTAAAAGTATTGAATGGGATTCAATTTTTTATCGTATGAATACTTTCCAATGAAGACGTGGAATTCACAAGTATTGAATGAGATTCAATACTTTATGTTTTCAATACTTTTTAATGAAGACGTGGAATTCGAAAGTATTGAACAAGATTAATTCATGTATGTCTCGAATACTTTCCAATCCTCAAATACAATTTAAAAGTATTCAATATAATTGTAACTTTTATAATCTATAATTTATTCCTGTTCTTTGAAAAGAATAAAAAACCCGGAAAAAAATAATTAGGCCGCATCATATATGTGGAAAATAAGCGTGTCAGGTCGTATCAAAATTGAGCAGGCGTGTTTATGCTTGATCTGACCGAGACTATAGAAAGTTTGATCTGACCGAGACTATAAAAAAAAAGTGCTCGTCCAAAAATTCGAACCGTGCACCTCATACCCCCCAGAATGACATTTATATTTTCTCAGTCAACCCAATAATGTATGTATATATTTCTTAATTTCAAAAATATAGCTTCTAAAAACTCTAAATTTGGTAGAAGTCTTTTATTTCTCATGTAAAAATTATCTTAAAATAGATTTCAATAAAGTCTTCCTACAGGAATTGCGGGGGTGGGTGTTAAAATCTAAAATTTAAATTTCCAAACTGTAACTTCGTCAGACTCCAAATTTGATGGGAATCATCGTGTATGATCCAAGTTCAGCTAAGAATGAATTTTATCAAATTTCAAGCCCAAAAGGAATTGCGGGGGCGTTAACTATGAAAATTTCTCATTGCCAAATAATAGTTTCTATTGACTCCAAGTTTTGTTGGAATCTTATTATTTATGATAATAATCATCTCGAATAGGATCTTACGAAATTTCTCTCTCACATAGGAGTGCAGAAGTGATAATTGTCAAAAAAATCATGTTCTTCAAATACAGTTCCTGCAGATATAAAATTTGATAAGAATCTTAAGAGGAACAGGAAATCACTGGAATAGCCTCCAAGGTCAACAGATTTAAATACTTTTTTTTTTAAATTATATTTTCTGACAATTAATGTTACAAGTAATGTTACGACAATATTAGAGTCGATTTGTTTTAATTAATTAAAATAAAATTTCAAGTGTGAATAACTAGGCCAGTGTCAATAACTGGGTCTTTTACCTTATATACACTGATAGAAGGATTTATTAACTATTAATAATTTAATTTATTTAAAGACAATTATTTAATTTATTAAATTTTAATAAATATTTTTTAACATTTAATAAATATTTATTTGGGAGGAAAGTACATTGATGAATAGTTAATTATTTATTTATTAGTTAACAAATATTTATTAACAGTTGATAAATATTTTTTTGAGTAAATTTGTTTCCCTTGTAATGTCATATGATATGAAGATTGTTTATAAACAAAAATCATCTTTATAAATTATTTGCAATAATTATATTATAATAACATTAATTGTAATATACCGAATTCTATTACAGCTCATAATTATCTTTTATATTTTTAAATATTGAAATCGTTAATTTATTTAGTGAATTGAATTATTATCATGTATTTCAGCTATAGAATCATAAGAAGTGTCAAAAGAAAATTACTATTTTTGTTTTTTATTTTAAATAAATATTTGTTAACAGTTAACAAATATTCATTAACCATTAATAAATATTTATTAACTGTTAATAAATATTCGTTAACTCTTAACAAATATTTATTAACATTTAATAAATCGTATTTAATAAATAATTTTTTAACTTTTAATAAATATTTATATATTAAATCCTATGATGTTAAAAAATCATTTATTAACAGTTAATAAAGCTTATTAAATAAAAACAAATCTTTCCGTCAGTATTGTTTTGGTGGTAACACAAGAGTTTAATTGCTTAACACGCCAAAAATTATAGCGGGA